ATATATGGATATCCGACAGTATGAAAAAAATATACGGAAAAAACAAAAATCCTAATATGCAATTATGCTGTTTTAATGTTCCGTTTCAATATGATCACGCCAAACGGAACGCTGATCTTGAAAAATTTCAGTTGTCTGTTTTGATTAGTCGTACTCTTATGTCCATCGTCTTTTCATGTTGAATTAAATATAGTCTAATGTTAATTATGTTTTATTAATATGTCCTGAAGATGGTCTACTAGACCGAAACGTCCGACGTTGATATTATATTAACATTAAAACAGCATAATTGCATATTAGGATTTTTGTTTGTTTTTTCCGTATATTTTTTTATATATATATATATATATATATATATATATATATATATATATATATATATATTTGGGCAGCAATCCATTTTTATACAAGTTTAATCAATGAAACTTTTATTAAAGAGGGATTACTGCCCAAATATACATATATATATATGTATATATATATATATATATATATATATATATATATATATATGTGTGTGTGTGTGTGTGTGTGTTTGTGTGTTTGCAGCATTGGGTGTGGCCTTTAAGTCATAGGGGGCGGTGAGCGGTAATAATTTTCCTCTAAAATTAGCTCCCGTCATTTTCACAGGGTGGTGGCAAATGATTTTCGAAGGGGAGTTGCCCAATATGACACTCGCTTGGCGAGTAGCCTTATTATATTCTTTAAAATATTGTTATATTCTCCCGGGGTCAGGGTAGAGAGCTCAATGGCGGCGATAGTTCGCTTGTAGATATAAACGGTATATATACACAAGAGATTAAAAGTTTTGGGAGACGCCCAGAATTTCAAAGAATCGTCCAAAAACTGAAGATTGTGTTCATTTTCAAAACTAATTTACGAGCCGACTTTGGGCCAAATTTATTTTTTTTCTTCAAGGATTTTATCATATATTCAATATATATATATATATATATATATATATATATATATATATATATATATATGTGTGTGTGTGTGTGTGTGTGTAAGCAAATATATGGATATTTAAGAACAAGACTTATCCAAACAGCTGATCTTATAAAACTTTCAGTTATCTGTTTGGATAAGTCTTGTTCTTATGTACATCGTCTTTGTCATGTTGTATTGATAACGTTATAATTTATGAATATGTCCTGAAGATGGTTTATTAGACCGAAACGTCCGACGTTGACATATTAACATTAAAACAGCATAATTGTATATAAGGATTTTTGTTTGTTTTTCCGTATATATTTTTCTTCATATATATATATATATATATATATATATATATATATATATATATGCATATATATATATAGTTATTTATGAAAATTATCAAATAAATATGTTATAAAATCACTACAAAATTGGCATTTTGTTTCAACCCTTCTGGTGTCTTATCAAACTATCACTTGATAAGACACCAGAGGTGTTGAAACAAAATGGATATTTTTGTAGTGATTTTGTAACATATTGATGTTATAATTTTCGAATAAATAATTATATTTGTTCTACTTTGTATTGAGCACTCTCTTACTAAATTAGAATTGGTTGGTTATTGGAATTTATTCCGTATACACCAATCCTACACTTATGTATGTGTATATATATATATATATATATATATATATATAAGTGTATATTTGTGTATATACACTTGAATATATATATATATATATATATATATATATATATATATATATATATATATGAAATGCTCAAACACTAATATTTTATATTATATTTTATATCATATTCTTGCTCTGTCCTGGACATTGATCTCTACCTGGATTCTATCCTCTTGGAAATTTATACATATATATATATATATATATATTAAGAGATTTTGATGCAAGGTCGAATTGACTATATTTAAACTTCAATCTTCCATGAATCTCTCACGTATATTCATAACTGAATTCGACCTTGCTAACCGAACGCTCCTTTGTGGCCAAATCGGTAAAGGCACGTCAAGCTAAATGACGGTTCCGCATAGAATACAGGTTCGATTCCTGTCGGAGGACGAATATTTTCTATGAAAATTTCTCGGACATTTAGGCCGGTAAATGTTGTTTAATACTGTTTATTATAAACAAAGCATTTACTTAAATATTTGTATCTATAAAAAGAATGTATAAACATAAAAATGTCTTTATATATATATATATATATATATACTGACCACTAATATTATATATATATATATAAAGAAAGTGTGTGTGTGTGTGAGAGAGAGAGAGAGAGAGAGAGAGAGAGAGAGAGAGAGTCCGCCACAAAATTGTATAAACACTATAGGAAAGGAAAAACTTGTCTTTCGTAGTTTTATCAAATTTCGATAACACTGTTTACTGTAGTACGATATTTTCCGCCAAATGGCATTACCCCATTGTTGTAGCATCAACGAGTCCTAAAACTTGTTATGTCTCGCAGAAAAACTGGCTACACTGGCAGCCCTTAGACAAGAAATTGAAAATGTATGTGCAGCAGTCCCACTGGACACTTTGGCCAACGTTGCCCGAGCAGTAGTTCGCCATACTAATAAATGTCTGGAAGCTAAAGGCCACCATTTTGAGCATCTCTTGTGATTCTAGAGTCCCAAGATAACTTGTATGAATCCCATGATGTCTGAATAAATTTAGAATTGCAATATCTAGGAACATAACCAGAGTTGGGTGTGATATTTTAATCAAGAGTAGGCATATAAAAATGTTCACACTAAAATTAAAAATTTATCATATATTTAATAATTTTATTATAATTGGGTGCCTTCGCTTGTTTGTATGACCGTTACGTCTTGCCAATACCTCATAAATAATGGACTATTCTATTTTGATCGTTTTGAAAGAGATAAAGACATTAATGAAATAAGGAAACTGTTATACCTGACGTACCTATTCTATTATTAATAGACTCTCCCACACATAATAAGTAGTAGTAGTAGTAGTAGTAGTAGCGGTCGACAGTTAGGCTCAGTGGTGTTGAGCGAGTCAGTCGATGTCGGACATTGAAGTATCAACCATCACAACTAGATTGCTGCGTCATTAATTATTATTGCAAGTTCCTAACGTTTTGTACGTCGAACCTAATTTAGGACGACTTAGTGAAATACAAGCCTCCGCTACTCTACAACAGAAACACAGTAATGGAAAGACATAATCAGATGAAGTTGAAAAGAACAGATACTACACTTTGATCTCAGCCAAATGTCCGAGGATTATATTTCCTTGCCGCTCATGCTGATACGATGTGACACAAAGCTCGGTTTAATGTGGAGAGTGCGTGCACCTGGCCCAGCCACCAATCCCCACGCCCCGTAACTATCGTTTGAACTGGCATAGATATTGCTAGCGTTCCCCTCCCCGCTATTTAGTGCAATGAGGGAGGTACTGCCGTGTGATACTTTTTCTTTAGACCGGGCACCCTTCAATAATATTTTCATTTGCGCTCTGTCCGAAGAGAGACACGCAACCTTTTTTTTAAGTGTTTCACCCCAAGCAAGGTATCTCCAAACGTTCAACTATCTAGGTACTGGCTAGGCTCGATGTTGCTTAACTTCGGTGAACGTACGAGAACCGGTGTTCCAACGTGATACGGCCGTAAACCACTAATTAATGGATTAACGGATTAACAGATTAACGGATTGATTGATATAATCCTTTTTTTCCGGTCTATCAACTTTTTGAAGGGTGTTTAAAGCCATAAAATATTTTTTGATTGTTAGTTTTAGATATTAACGATTTATGGTTACAAGCCTGAATGATAAAACGATAACTGGTGGGGAGAAGTGGATTCAAGCCTTTCTCTAATGGGATTTTCGCGTAAGTTAACATAACATAATGTTATGGGATCTTACCCATAATAATAATAATGGACTATTCCATACTTAATAAATACTGCACCTCAGAAGGAGGCAAGGAGTCTGTCGTTCAACTCTGAACTGACTGCACGGTTCAACTCTCTTCCTATGGGCGAGAGGAACCCGAAGGAGGCTACGCCGAAGGGCGGAGTCTCCTTCGGGGAGGTTAAACTCCAGCCTGAACCCGTTTATACGGGTTCGAATGGGCTATTTTTTGCCGGGCCTAATGGCTCGGAAATGCCCACGTTAAAAAGGCCTTGTGCCACATGACACCCTCGTGGGGGGGTGACTGAATATTGTCTGTCGTTCAACCAGAACCGACTGTTCGGTTGTACTCTCTTCCTACGGGCGGGAGGAACCCGAAGGAGTCTACGCCGAAGGGCGGAGTCTCCTTCGGGGAGGTAAAACCGGCCCAGAACCCGTTTATACGGGTTCAAATGGGCTATTTTTTGGCCGAGCCTAATGGCTCGGGAATCCCCACGTTAAAAAGGCCTTGTGCCGCATGACACCCTCGTGGGGGGGGGTGACTGAATATTGTCAGTCGTTCACTTTCTGAGCGACTGTTCGGTTTAACTCTCTGTCTACGGACGGAGAGGAACCCGAAGGAGGCTACGCCGAAGGGCGGAGTCACCTTCGGGGAGGTAAAACCGGCCCTGAACCCGTTTATACGGGTTCAATGGGCATAATTTGGCCACGGGCTCGGAGATCCCACGTTAAACCGGCCTTGTGCCATATGACGCCCTCGTCGAGTCAAGAATCGAGTCAGAGGCAGACCGAAACAGAGTCGCGTTCAGACAATTACTACTAAACCTGATTGTTCGTACTAACACTTTCTACTTCTCTGTATATATTCCTGTTTGTAATATATCTGTGTTATTCCATATCCGTGTTCGAGTTTTTCTTTATTGGTTCTACCTTGGACTATCACCGTGGTACAAGGAACCGGACCATAACACATAACTTGATCGGAGATTTAGATAGATATGCAGAGACTGACATAGATCGATACGAATAGACTGCGATAGAAAGATTGATAGATATGAATAAACTGAGATCTATCTATCTATCTATCTATCTATCTATATAGAGAGATAGATAGATAGATCTATCTATCTATCTATCTATCTATCTATCTATCTATCTATATATATATATAGAGAGATAGATAGATAGATAGATAGATAGATAGATAGATAGATAGATAGATAACTATGTATGTAAGTAAGTATAAGAAGCCGATGTAGAAATATATGAGTCTATTGATTGACGAGTTATTTAAGCAGATGTTGGAAGTAAGAGAATTATCCTCGGAACCGGGTTAGAAAAAATCGATCCATGCCTGTGCGAAGAGTCCAGAATAGAGACAGCAATTGAACAAGGCAGATCGATACGACATTCTTGCATTATCAGGAAGACTTTTATTAATTGGGCGCCTCCTATAGAGTGACCGTTAATCTCCTGAGTCATTGCGTGACATGTTAAATGTTGTCCGGTGCTACATCATCTGAACTTGGGGCACGCTCAGTTCCGCTTCGTAAATATTACATCTAGTATCTTTATCATTCTTCGTCAAACGCCCGTAGGCTGGCGCTGGAAAGTGGCTACCAAAGGGCGCGTTATCAAATGACAAATATATTGGTCACTTCCAAAAGCAATACTACTACTAATACTACAACAACAACTACTACTACTATTAATAATAATAATAATAAGTGAGTGTCAAAGCGATCTCGCCAAAGGTATAAGGGATAGACAAACATATAACAATCGATAGATAGATAAGAACAGACTTAGATTGATAGCTAGCTAGCTAGCTAGATAGATAGACAGATGTGAACACACTGAAATAGATAGAAAATGAACAGCTTGAGATAGATAGATAGATAGAC